CAGTACCCATGAGACAAAGACACTTTTTTTTTTTTTTTTTTTTAAAAAAAAAAAGACAGGTTTCTTAGAACTTCCTCTTCTTAAGCTGTCTCAAAAGTCCACCAGCACACAGGAGATGTAGAATAAAAGAAAGATGCTGTCAGTGGTGATGCACACTGGGATCCACCAGCAAAGAAGAACTAGATATAAAAACATTCAATTGTGGAGATTATGTGGCCACTGCTAAAATAATGTCCTTTAATGCCTAAAAATAGATTACTTTTAAATGCGTCTCCATGACAAAAGAAGCCATCTGGCATGCAGGTCAGTACACAGAAATGCTGTGTCAAGGAATGGAGGTTGACTAGTTAATAGAAGTCAGCCACTATTCCCCTGCATATATTACAACTCGGTAGGCTTTGAAGAAAGCATGCTGGAGATGTTATTTTCCACCCTGTTATAAGCATCCACTTCAAGATGCTTCACTCCAGGCTAGCAAGGGATGCCCCACATCACTGTATCACTACTTACAGAATTTATGACACAGAATCATGCTTACAACTTCATACATTGCAAGCATTTGTCCAGAATACAGTCCCATGTGTGCATATTCACCGTAACATATATTCCTAAGAATGCTTAATTAGCACTATTATACAGAAAAAAACTTCGGGCATTATACCTCACATTTCTCATGCCTGCTTTTAAAACTGAAGAGTAGTATTTTTTTACATGTGGGAAGGGGCTCTAAATTTTTGTGTTTTCCAAGAGCGTACAGGAGTAAAGAGCAGAGTGCTTTGTAGGAGGGAAGCACCTGTTTAAAATATTTCATATTCCTCCTTGCACTGCAATAATTTAATAATAACTGCCTCAGTTAAAAAACAAAAACCCAAGCAACAAACAAAGCCAACAAAAAGAACCTATGTTGTTTTAAAGACTAAGTTTAGCGCACGTATATTCCAGAGAGAAACAATGTCATAGAAAACAGTGAATCAATGCCTGTCTCCCAAAGTCTATGAATGAAGATCACATATCTTTCTGGAAGTCATGCTGTGATTAAACTAACCTCAGCAGAAGGGCAGCCATTCCATGGCATATTTTCCACTAGAGGTCAGGCTGAAGGAGCTAATGATCTATTTTAGCCTTCAAAAATCTATGAGTGGGAGTTACTACTCAAGATTTGGAAGTTTAAAAATCACTTAACGTGAATCACAAAGATGTATTTTTCTAAGTGTCCGACAGCTGGAGGTATTTAATCATGAGAGTATTTTAAGGTATGTCAATACAGCCTTTCACAGAGCACTTGATGTGCCACCTCAGTCGGCAGGACAAGGTTTGGAGAAGTTTCTCCTAACCTTCAGCCTTGAAATGAAAAACACGTTAGTTCGAAAAATAGCAGACAACATTCTAGTTACTTTTACGAGAGTATTTTTAAAGTTTTGCTTTTTTTCCTTTTAGAAAGGACATACATTACAAGGATTTTCCACCAAAAATCTAGATTGAATTTGTTTCTGTAAATAACTAGGAAGACTCACAGCTAAGCATGAAGCATATGACCACAACAGGCTTCAGGTGGTGAGAATATTTTTCAAAACCCCAAAGCGATTTTAATTAGGAATCTAAACTTTTATTTCCCTGTACTTTGGTGACTTACGTAATTCCATCACTTTCAGAAACATTGACCCAGCTTCTTGAAATAAATACCTTGAAGGCAGTGAAGTTCAGATATACACTTGCTGCTGAAAACTCAAGGAAACGTTTAATGTATCATTTATAGTTTTAAATGCCTGCTTTGTTGTGACAGGACATGAAGGCATGCTCAAACAGCAAGTCCTAGCTCAGAGCTCTCTGCAAGTCACCAGTCCTCTCCACAACTCACTGCCTTCCGCACATCTGTCTGCCACCATGAAAACCAGGACAAAGTAACTTTGGCCAAAGCCACAAAAGCATTTACCCATAGAGTCAAAAACTAAATTGAGGAATAGCTCACACATTTACACTTCTGAAAATGAGGCAGCCCACTAAATTCACTCAGAGACAAAATCAGCTAACTAGGTCAAGCTATGCCAGCTAGCATTTTAAAGTACCTCATGGTCAACTATTAGAGCCCCTTCAAAGATATACAAATTACTTTGGAGAAGTAAGAATGTAAAATACCAGCAACAACTGCCAGAGAGAAGAAAACTTATAGTTTCTCCAGTCCCCTAAGATTAGTGGTGGGAATAACAGGCATAAGGAACAGAAATGAAGCCTAGAAGATGTTGGTTTGACCTCTTTTTATATGTCTCGCATGGACTAGCCTTTCCTGTACTTTTACCAGGTCAAAAGCAGCACACCTGCTGATAACAGACAGTCATTTCATCAGTTACAGATTAACAGAACCTGATAACAGCAGTCCAAAATCCACATGTGCATGTTTTAAAAGGTGAAAATTCAGTTTAACTCAGTGATACATTCAACTAATACACCCTTTTTCCTTTACCAGTTCTCCTGAAAATAAGCTAACCTTTTAAAATCTACAGCTGTACAACAGGTACAGTATACCTCTCTAAGGCATGGCCTGGAGAAATGGAAGAGCTGTTTGACAAGGACCACTCCAACACACTTCCACAGAGCTGGCAGTCAGAGTTTGACTGAAGCTGGTAAGGCAGTTTTCCCAGATGGAACACATACCCCACCCAGATGCACAGATAGTATTTGTGGGAGCAAAGGAAAATAAAATCTAGGTTTAAAATAAATGCAAGAGAAACACAGAATAATATTGAATCACTCTAGGTATTTCTAAGAGTTTTCATTTATCTTTTCTACTTCTCAGCACATAGCAAGTGTATGTTCAGGGCTTTGAAACCACTGAGCAAATGCAAGGGCTTTAAAACTATTTTTGTTTCAAATGTAAGATCACAGAAATAAAGACAGGCTCCAGGTATTTCTCTTCAGAATGAGATTTCTGTACAGAAGTTTGATGCAAAAGGAGTTAAAAATGCTGTTCCTGCATATGTCTGGCAATGACAACTAGGCTTGTCAGAGAGCCTTTCAGATGCTAAAGAAAAGGACTTGCTCTGCTGCTGAATTTCAAACGGCTCCCTCTGCACGGTGGCTACTTTCCCATTGTTTTAAATGGATAGAAAGACACACAGCTGGAAAGAAGAGGCAAGCTACAAAGAAGTGAGGATAATACAGCTTTAGATGCCGGTATCATGATATAAGGAGGCAAGAGTAGCCACGCATTGATCCGAGCTGGCACGTCGACTCGGACAACAACTGGTTCGGGCCCCAGCTCAAGGCCACACTCTCACCCCTTCTCCCTCCGTCACTAGTCCTTTTCAAGCTAGAGAGAGCTGATGGCCAATTTTACCTTCTTACAATGACACCATCCAAGGTAGCTGGTCTCAAGATCCCATGAAAAGCTAGCAGAGAAAGAATGAATAGGAGAAAAACAGCACAGGTAGGAAGTGGTGGAGAAAGAAGCAAGAAGAAACACAAAAGCGCATCCTTCCCGTTGGAGTCCCTCATAACCCAGAGGTGTTGATGTGTGCTTACTCTGCCATGTCAGGAACTGAAGCTCCACAATGTTCTACTTTTAATCCCCCTCTCTTAAGCATCCTCCTTCTAGAGGATCCAGCTCTTCATTATTTCACTCATTAGACTTAATTTCTGGTAAATCAATATTAACTTCTCAATTTCAAGTCTCACCCGTCTCTTGTTTAGTAGACATGACTTAGACACTATCCTTGAATTACAATAAAAGTCTCCCTTCTTCAGATTAAACCAGTCCGTCTGCACCCTTCCTGACTCCTCCTGCTACCCTTCCCAGTTACAGCCTAACATAACACTGCATGAACTTCCATCTCATGACTGTGGGTAGACAGGTAGGCCCTCCTGTGATATGTCTTGCGGTACTACAACTACTTCTCCCATGCAAAAAGCAAAGCAAACCCTTCGGCACACAGAGCCAGCAGAGAACTCTCCAGCTCCTCTCTGTGCTATCCCTTAGCAGCACAGCTTCTAGGGTAGGAACGTAAACCAAGTATCTTGCAGTCTGACTTCTGCCATTTAAAACTTATCAATGACCAGCACACTGGATATAAAGACTCTTTTGGGTCACTTTTTTTTTTTTCTTGAAATCTTGTGCGATTATTTAGGCCACAGCTACAAAAGCAAATGAACAAAATAAAAAAGACCAGGAAGAGTCCTTAAAGAAAATACCTCAAACTAACACATCATAGAAAGAGAAAATTTTACTCTTTGCTCATATATCAGCAACATACTTATGACAGTATGACATGCAAACTCATTATATACACACATCTGAACTACTTCATACACACATTTTTAAGTCTCACTCATTTTATGCTGAATTTATTCAAAAATTTAAAAAAAAAAATCTTCTACAAAGGGTCTACACTTTATCCAGTCACAAAACCTATGTTTGGAGTAATTTCAACAGAAAGAAATGCTTCAAACTTTCACCAGTGTCACTAAACAGAATTTAGCCCAAATACTTTTTTCCTTTTTAATCTATTCAACTGAAAGAAATGGAGCTGCAAGGGTTTGGGTTTTTTAATCCCAAAGTGGATTATACAAAAAACAATTTCATCAAAGACTTTTTACAACAAGCCTAGCATTACTGGTTATATCTTATTATTAAGGTAAGAATTCTTCAAAGAACTGTATGATTGGAATCTCTTCCTGATACATAGTGACATGCTATTTGCTGGCTGCAGTGAGAAGAGTCAAAATGAAAACAAAAATACAAACACGCTTTTTTTCCACTTGTCTTTATTGATTTAGACTTCAGAACTACAGCCAAAAATAGAAAATTACCACACATGCTATCAATACAGCATCATCACATGTTTAGAATCATAAGCACCTGACAAATTGCAAAGGGAACATTCAATCTAATATTTTAGCAATGCAGCCTGTGAATAGGGAATACAGAGAGAAGGATTTTTTTTTTCCCTCCAAAAAGAAGTATTTCTGAACAGGAATGAAAAGCCTCTGTTAAAAAAAGAATTCCAGTCACCATGGAAAACTCATGCTGGCTCTTTCAAGACATCAACATACACTGCTGGAAGCTCTGTATGGAATGTTGAATGGTACACAGAAGCTATGACTCTGCTACAGGTACAACGCTGTCTTCAGCACTTTGTATGCCATCAAGATGGTCACTGCATACCCAACTGCCCAAGACAAACCTCTGCTGGGCTGGGGAAGAGGGATCAAATATGCAAAAGTGTGAACGATCCTAGCCCCAGTGAAGATCCTGAAATGCAGCAATGCTGTGGACAGCTCAGGGCCACTAAGAGCATACAGCAGTCCAATGCCAAGAAATGGGACAATATTTTCAAGGTCATTCAGGTGGCCTCTGGGGAAAGAAGAAAAGTTGTTTTACAGTGTTACATTTTGTTGAATAAACCACTTCAAGCCTCATTACTTTTCAGCATCTTCAGAGCATGCTACTGTTAAGGCCCTAACATAACTGTTGGTTTCCTCTGCAGTGGGGACTTGATTCAGCTACTGAAATGATTCTGGCATGTTCACCTGACATCACCCTGGTCTCTCTTGCTGTGCCTTACATTTTTAAGCCTCTGATCTTCTGTACGAAAGGTCTTAGCTTTTCCTCAGGATCTTGGTAATATTAGGGACTTACATGAGGTATGAGTGCAACTGGGTGTCCAAGAATGCAAGGAACAGCAGGGAAGAAGACAGATAGCTGTTATTTTCTTGTAGCCTCTCTCATAAATGAGTATCAATTAACTGGATGACTGTGACTGCAACTACTAAACTTCATGGCCCAGATGGTCTATTCCAACCCCATAAACACAGTTTGTAGTCTCTATAAAGAAAACAGGAAATATCCTATATATGAAACATTCTATCAAATCTTCATGAAGTTCAATCATCTTGAAGAATTTTATTTTTGAGCATCTAACAGGTGTGACAGTTACGCTTTTGGTTCGTTTTCTTCACTACTAAGCACTAAAATAGATGAAAAGTGTTTGAAATCTTGAAATCATTATATAATTTACTAAAAATGTGTTGAGACTGAACTCCAGATCTTGAAGTATTCTTTCACGCCTCTTCCTAAACTTTCCCTGCTCCCTTTACCTCTTTAGATAAATTATACTTCCAGCCAAATTTACTGATTGAAACAACTTCTAAGCCTTACTAATTATGGCAAATTTCACAGCCAACTACAATCAGAACATGGTGCTGTTTTGCAGCTGCCTTCTGAACTCATTTATCATCACAAAGAAACACATCCTCCAAGCTTCCCCCAAGAAAGTACACTGAAGAAAGTAATGTCTCTTCTATACCCATAAACACAACAAATTCCAGTCACTTAACACAGAAGAGAAGCCATGCTAAATCTATGTGGCATTACCTGTTGCCATGAAGCTTCTAAAAGAAAATAGAGTAAACTTCCATTAAGAACCACTGGTGGGAGGAAAAAATGGATGCTGCAACACCAATGGAGTAACTAGAACCAAGCCAATTTACTAGGTTTCGGGAAGTCTGAACAACTCTGCAAAATAGCAACCCAGGGTTTGATAATACAGTGTTTTAAAAATCTAACCTGTGTAAACAACTCTGTGAGGTGGTTGTCATTTTCTAACGTAACAATTTGAGTTAAAAGGGCATCTGGTCATAAAGTTAGTATCAACTTAGTTGTCCTCTTAGAATTTACAAATAGAAAGAAATTACTCCTCACCAAAAAGTGCCCATTTTTATATAACAACCAGCAAATTAAACAACTAACAAGTCCCTGAACTAGGCAGGGGGAGAAAAGGACTCTTCTTCCTGAAATTTTAATACAGGAGAGACATACAGAAATATACTAGCCTTCATGGACTACAGTCACCTACATTTGTCAGGATGCACTGTTCTAAAAATCAGAGCTGATACTTGTTTTCAAGATCTTGCCTACTGGTGATTTAAACGAGAACAGCTCATTCACATTCAAATTTTTGGTATAAAACCATATATAGCACATGAACTGTTAGCTTCTTTAAGGAATAATGACATGGAAAGCATTCCATTAAAGCTTTCCTTGTTAGCACAGGTGTATCAAACTGCATCTTGAAAGTTATGATTTTGGTAACAGAAAATTTTGCCATCAGCTAAATAAAATTAAATAAGCTGCAACATTTAGCCCATTGAAATACAGCTTACATTCTGCCGCGAGTCTTGCAAAACAAAATACATACACTTCAGGTTCCACACTGCCATACTATTAATAGCACTCTTCTAGAAGGCTGGTCAACTTTCCTGTACAATTGACGTATCAGTGAGTAACCTCAACTCAATCCAGCAAAAAGAGTACAGGCTTTGACTCCCACTCTGTACAATTTCCCAGATTAATGCTCTCGTTACAATTCTGGAGTTCCATAGCTTTAACATAGTTTTACTCCTCTACCCCCTGTTTTTTCCTGTAGATGTGGTCTACCTGGACTTCAG